CGGTCCCATAACGCTCGGAATTGGCAGCGTCGTCAACTGCATGCAACGAACCAGCGTCACTGACAATAACGTCTTTCTCAATTGAATCTTGCAGATCAGCCAGCCGTTGCTTTGCAGATATTGAGTCGTCGATTACAATGCATTCCTTTCGAAAATAACTATGGGTCTCTTTCAGCACATACAACCATGGAAATATACTCTCACTTCGGTAGCTCGTACAATCCCCGAAATAAGTGTTTTCGTGCTCTCCACTGTTCCGTAGAGCCAATAAACGTGACACGCGGCTTGCGATCAATATCCGTCACCGGTAGACCTTTTGTGCATGCCTGGGGGCCACTTGAAGGAAAACAAAGCGAGTGTCCACTACAATGCTTTCCAGAAATCGAAAAATCCAATCCAAAGCATCGAGCGGCCGCAATACAGTTTTTCGTTATCGGGCTCAAGTCAGGAAGCGAGCCATACCGACCATAGTCATTACTGTTAGCGAGACTGAACTTCGGTTTGCGAGGGTTATACGCGCACTTCGCGCACAAATGAATTCGCTCCTTGTTTCGTACTAATTCCGGATTCAAAAAAATATTTTATTCCGTCCGACTGATAAAAAAAACTTGAGCGTGACATTTAGCAATATCGTCTGGTAAATGGCCATAGCGCGCTTCGTATTCCTAATCTGAAATTCGAAATGATTGTGAAAATTGTGATAATGATAAGCTCACGCGGTCACTTCGGGGGCCAACAAGAAATTCGCAACAGGAAGCGCAAGCCAAAATTCCACCTTGAGAAGGATCCAGTGAAGCTGCAGATGTCTGGCAGCGCTCATAATCCGATTCCCCCAAAGGTGAATCCAATGCATTCAGTAACCTTTCTCGCACTGTTCACCGCCGCGAACATGTTCATCATTGAAAACAAATGCATCTGGGGGTCCTCAACAGCAGTAATAGTAAATTAAAGCCAACTTTGGATCGCTCGTAAAATTCTGGCCCTCCATCATCGTTTAAATTTCATCTAGGGAAATGGAATGTTTTTCCAGTATCGAACTCGACAATGTTTGCAAGCTATCACCACGACCAGTATGAAAATCAGGGGCACGGCAATCATGATCTATCCGGTCCGCATGTGCTGCATGTACAACGCATTCTCAAGTTAATATACTAATAAACTTTATTATGAAACAGTTAGTATATATTTTCCTGTTTTCTTCTTCTGCATTTGACGCTGCTTTCTCATGCGGTCGGCGTTCTTCTTCTTCATTTTATTCTTCTTTGTCGCGGTGGCCTGATCTTCTTCGTTACTGCATCTTTCGTCGTTACGGTTTGGAGGAACGCGGGCTTGCTTGTGTTTGACCCTGTATTCACGCATGTATTGCGCCTTACGGCGTCGTTTTTGCTGTAGCACGTGTTCTTGAGTTCGCGCTTGGTCGGTCGTTGTCTCCGCCTCCATTGCCATCACCTTGAGCTTGACGCACACTAGGAAAAGGTAGACGCCCACTCCACAAAGACGGATATCTCGGTACCCTCCCCCGATGACAATCCACTTCCTAGTTCGTCGCTCCAGAATCTCTGGAAGCCACCCCCAGCACGCAGCGTGGTCTAGGTAACAACACGTTCCCAACTGGACCGGAAAGAATAAATATGAGACGACAACCGGAATGATGTTAAGCTACTACACGTATTATAATTCTCTCTTTCTAAATGAGACGACAACCTGAACGATGTTAAGCGACTACACGTTAAGCTCGATGAAGCAGAAGACGCAGCTACATCAGGGCAGAAGGAGAACGAGGGCGGAAGCGATAAGAAGAGCGAGTCGAACTTGTGCACTGGTTACGACATTTATCTCGACCACGAGCCTTGCGCTATGTGTGCGATGGCTCTGGTTCACAGTCGTGCTCGTCGTGTGGTGTTTGATCGCACAAACCCTGCTGACGGAGTGCTTTTGAGTTCTTTCAAGCTGCACACTATCAAGTCGTTGAACACCACTACCGCGTCTTCGACTTGCCACTGAGACCCGAAGAGATGGCAAAATCTGTATTAAAACTTTTGCGACTTGGACAAGAGAGGTCTAACGTTAGGCTGCAAAAGATTTGATCATGGCTTCCAGTCTAGGTACGAGTTCGTTAAACGTCGGTCGTTGATCCTGTTTCTTCACCCAGCAGTCTTCTAGCTGACGAGCAAGTCGTGCAGGCGTTCCGTCCGGTACAGTTGGCCTCAAATTTCCACCAGCAACGCCGTTCATAATGTCACTGGAGCCCAGATATGGGTACGTTTTTCCCCAAGCAAGCACCTCCCATACAATAATTGTGAAACTGTAGACATCACACGGGTGCCGCACTTCTCGCCCCTCAACACTTCAGGAGCCACTCCAGCGAGCTTCCAAAGATCGACATGGTCTTCCCAACGTCGCAAAAATTGAACAGCCCGAAGTTCATGCGGTCATCCAACAGGATGTTCTGAGACTTGAGATCTCGGTGAATGACGATCGGATTGTGGTTGTGCAGATACGTCAAGCCCTTAGCCATATTGAACGCCACACTGTACGCGAGACGCAATTAAGCAGGATCCGGTCGCGGCATCTTGTGGTGAATGTCGAAGAAGCTTCCGTTCGCCAGTAATTCAGTCACCAACAACAGCGTCGGCGGCTTGGAGCAGGAGTCCATGAACAGCACAATGTTCGGGTGGTGAAGTCCCTTCATGATGCCACGCTCTTGGTATTGCCTTGTAGAGTGATCTTCTTGATAGCCACTCGAGCCTCCTTCCGCGTAGCAGCATAAACACAGCCAAACGTGCCTTCACCTAGCTCCTCTTTCACTAGTACGTCCTTGGGGTTGATGGGGCAGTTAGCACTTAGAATTCCCCCTGCGTTGCTTCCATTGTCCGGTGACTGATCCGTTGCCCCACACTGAACCAACCAGTCATTTCCATCGTCATCTGCACCAAACCGTTCTCCGAGAAACGATATTTTGTTGTTAACAGATTTTCCATCTTTATATTAATGTAGTACGAATGTCGACCGAGGTTACGCGCACGCAGTACCGTGGAATTAACGTATAATACGCATTAGAGTGCGGGACTTTATTTTTTTAGAGTGCGGTAAAATCGAAATTGCGCACTCTATTTTATGCGCACTCTATTCCGACATCAACACTGACAGCTCAGGTAGTTAAGACACTTGGGTTTATTGAGGGCCCCAAGAGGGAGCAGGGTTGTCGCGGGTTCGATTCCCATCGAATACGTTAATTCTCCGTGCTAAAATGGTAAGTCTCCTTCTGCATTGTCATTAACCTAGCTGCAAGCTCGCTAACATATCTTTTGCTTCAGTTTAATCCTCAATGACGATGTCGTCCAGCGTCTCCATGATGTGCTCGTAGCTTTCACAGTCGTCAAAGCTTCCGCTGTCATCTTCGGCACCGTCGTGACTACGCAGTTCCCAAGCCATTCGAAACTTGGTCCCGTACACGTCGTGACGTGCAATGTGCCACGAAGTAGGGTCATCGCTAAAACCACAGATCGAAACGCTTTTCGCGACGACAGAGTCTGGCGTCTGTCGCCACGCTTTCATTACCCATGCTGCGACCAACTCGACCTCAGGCGGACGAGGGTTCCCCCCCTCTAGTGTAGCGAACCTGGTCCGAGTGCTTCCACTCATTGATGATCTTGCACAGGTTGTCCTTAAAGGACTTGTAGATCCCAACATCTCCCGCCTGGAGGTAGGGCGTCAAACCTCCTGGAATCACGACCATGCCGATCTCCTTCTCGTGGCAACGCTGCTTGACCTTCTTGGCGATATGAGCCCGCATCGAGTCCCAGATGACATACTGCCCAGTCGTTTTGGCTACTTCAGAGAAGTACCAATCCAGCCAGTTGAGGAGAAGGTTCTGGTCCACCCACGCTCTCTCTTGATAAGCAACGTAGCACCCACCAACACGCTCTATTGGTCCCCGCGTCTTTCACTTCCAGATAAGACACGGCGGTAGCTTCTTCCCTGATGTTGTTACTGCAAGCGCCGCAGTAATCCGCATTGAAGAGAACCGAGTAGAGCGAATGACGACATGACGTGCTCCAACCTCGTCGACCGTGTGCGTTCGAGCATCCTCAAAGTAGACAGCAGTCTCGTCCATTAGAATAGTTCGGTCGCGGTTCATGGATGGCTTGTGTTCGCCCAAATAGGTCATGTAGGAAACCGCTCGCTCCACCAACTCGTCGTCGCCGAGTGTTGTGAGGTTTGTACGCTTTCGAAGTGTTAGACAGTTGCGCTTCATGAATCCTTGCACCCACGGATCGGACGCGACGAATCGGATTGGGTCGTCTTCGTGTTGCTTTTCCGTGCGACTTGCCTGGAAAAGTGCAATAGCAGTCGATGCTATCCACTCCCGCGTCACTTTCTCTTTCGGTAGACGCTTATCGTACAGCAAGTCCAACTCGTCTTCAACAACTCCTAGGAGGGGCTTGCGGCCCCCACCAAAAAGCCGAAAGAGAGCAACAGACTCCGTACGAATTTGGTCGCGATCACGCCACCATTTGCGATAGGCAGACGCCGACACTCGCCACCTGAGCTGACGAAAGTGCGGCTCCGCTCGAGATGGAATTCCACCACCTTCGGACTCAATCCAGTCGATAGCCTGTTGCTTGAGACTGATCTCGACGGACTTACGTTGTGCAGGCATAGCAGAAAGGAGACTGATGAAACAAAAGCACTTGAGCCTTGTGAGTGGTGAAGAAGGAAACGAATGGCGGTGGCAGTGTTGGGCGAAACGAGTGGTGTCTAGAGCTGTGGTTTAGGGTGCACAGTCCAGATCTTGAAAGGTTGTTTTGTTAGCGCACTCTAATTGATCGCACTATATTTTTTTAGAGTGCTCTGCGGAACCGCATTCTATTCGAAGGGCGCTCTATTTTGCTAGGGGAACTCTAATCGATATTATACGTTAAATTAATCCGCTGGGGCCGTCAATCCCTCATTCTGAGGTATTCCCAGTATAATCCAAAACTAGTGTACTGAAAGTAAGTGAGATAGCCATATAATCCGCAGTGCTGTTTTCAATACACGTTAAGTTCGTTTTATTGCGAATTACGAACTTAACCCTTCCTTACCGGAATTCAGGACTCCAAACACGTTAATTACGGTACGTTTACGTCGTATTATACGACGAAGCTTTTCACAGTATATTTGTATGGCGTACATAACCGCCTGCGGGAAACCGCATAAGATTTCAACAGGTTTTTTTTTTTAAAGATGTCGTCATTTATACTACATAGCTGGCGACCTTCCTCTCCTAGATGTCGTAAGTTACCCCGGCTGGCAACAGAAGCGACCAATAGAGTGGTATAACGAATGCAAACACATGGTAATTCAGGAAGCAAAAAAGACATAATAGTGAGAAAAAGTGCATTAGCACCTAACACTCAACATAGCTTGCATGTCAGCTCATCCTAGTACATCCACAGCGTGTGGCCAGGGCCACACTAATCCTCGTCACTGCCCACTACGATTCCCGTTCCCTCGTCATCAGCATCGTCGCCACGAAGCTCCAACTCGCGTCGCGTCTTCTTCCGTTCACCCGCCTTCTTACCAGGGCGGCGAAGGACCACCTTCTTGCCCAGAGCCACAGGAATACTTTGGCCACAGTCAAAGTCATCGTGCCAAATAGCGAAGCACGTCTTCGCTTCGCTCTTGTAAGTATGCCGCAGCTTGTTACACAGCCAGCACTTGGCGTTGTCGACGGAGCAGCGCTCACAGAAGTAAGTTGTAGCGAATGATTTCTTCTTCGGGTTGGTCCTCAGGAGTGCGCAGACCTTACAAGACCTCTGACGCCTCTTTTGAACTCCACTTACAGTCACCCAATCCTCCGACTGCTCCAGCTCGTGCGTCAACCGAACGGGCGCACGTCTACGCTTCTGATTGCTTGGCGGCGGCGTAACCACTACACCAGCAAAGTCGTCCGCTTTGAGCTGCAAAAGTTGATTTTGCAGGACGCAAAACCACTCGCCGCGATTCATCGCTGTTGTCCCGGCAAGCCGAGCTGTCTCCTTGTAAGATATGTACGCGTTCATCAGCGCTAAGTCGACGAACCCCAAGAACAAGCTTCTGTAGCACTTGGAAAACCTGGTAGATGTTTGCAGCGAGAACGTCTGCAGGCGGAGTTGATCATGCACGTCAACTCCGCCCATCCAGCGTTGATAGTCGTTGACCGCAGCAAGGCATGCCACCGTGACCGCACCAACCTGCTTGACATTTCGATTGATTGATGAAGCTGTCATGGCCGAGCCGGTGCACAAATATGCACCGGTTTTCGATCCCACCAGCGAAACAAAACCATCTGCGGCACATCAACAGAACGGACAAACGTGAAAAGTGCCGCGAGGGATTGCTGCCGGCCGCGTCTTTCGGGTCTCTCTAACTTCTTTTGGGTATCCAAGCCGGTACGTCATAATGGTCCCAATCACATAAACTCCCATTCCAAGCAGCTCCACAGCAAGTAGAATCGACGTATAGAACTTGTCAATGACAACAAGATGCCAGTGATGACGTGTGGTCTCATTCAGTACCGCCTTCAGGTTACGCACGACTGCAGCAGCGCCGGTCTTGTTGTCAAATGAGCTATCTCCATTTTCTTCTACATTACGTTTGCCAGCGTACATCTCGAATCTAGTAAAATACGACATAGAAAGTTAGACATTATATTAAAAGTACATTTTACGAAAAACACGTTACCTGTGAAAATAAGCTGGCCTGGAGTCACACAACATGAACATTTTCGATCCATACAGGTGGGGCTTATCTGGCATAAACATACGGGTAGTATTCCGCTTTGATGTAGAGGGGAGAACACCTTCATCAAAAGAAAAAACCGCTGGTAGCGACCAGCCAGCCAGAAACCGCTGCTGTAACTTGTCGACGATGGGGTGCAATTTCCAGAGCTTGTCTCGCGTTCGCTCAGCTTCGTTGTCAACGAAGTGGAGATCGCGCAAGATGTCCGTGCACTGGTTACGGCCCATGAATTGGCCAAACGTCCCAGCGGGAATGGCACCATCGACACACATCGACCAGTGTGCCGAAAACCGACACTTCTGTGGGCACAACATACGGGCAACGAGAAACCCAATCACATGCAGGATCTCGTTCGGCTGGTAGGCAGGAGTCGCTCTCAAGCGACGGCGAATCTGGACAAAGATCTCTCGGCGGTCGGCTTGCCTAGAAAATACCCGTCTTGCTCGCCTGTCCACTTGTTGTAGGCTATACCGGTTAGTTTCCGCACCGATCATATTCCATAGTGACTTGGGCATGAAGTAGAAAAAAGGTAAGTAGCAGGGAGTGGCAAATGCTACGCAGCTCTTGCGTCGGATGTGCATCTTCCATGTTGAGCCCAGGATACGCGGGAACGTTTTCCTCGTACAATGACGTTGCAGGTGTCCACTGCATTCCCCGTAAAGCCTTCGCTCGTTGCTGAATCGCGCTCTTGCTCATAGTATCTGCGCCAATTTGAAGCGACGTAACGAAACCTTCGTCCATCTCCACTGCATCGTTGTCCGAGACCAAGTCCATGTCATCCTTGGCAGCCGCTGGGCAAGCAACACCATCACTTCCATCGTCAAAATCTTCTGCGGCACTATCCCCGGAGCTGAAGCTCTCATAAGCACCCAAATCCTCGTTGTCTCGAACAAAATTCACGTCGCTCTTGACGCCTTTTCTTGGTCGCAAAATCCGGTCCGTCGGCGCAGCCGGTGTCGCTTCTGGTTGTAGCTTCGCTTTCGGCTTCAGATGCTTCGGACAGTAAATTCAGGCTAGTGGCTGCTTCTCGATCTGACTCCACCAATGGCAAGTTGGTTGGCGACAGGTCAAACGCCGGAGCCACCGCCTGTGAAAGCTCAGCATCTGAGTCACTGGATGCTCCAAACATCTCGTCCAAGGTGTTTTGGGAGAGCTGAGCGGAAGTGTCGATTTGAGACGGACGGACGTCGTCGGCCACAGCATCCTCGGTATCTTCTTGGGCTTCTTCGGTCGCGGCGTCCTCTGCTGCTTCAATTCCGCCCTCTCCGTCTGCGCTCTCGTTGCCCTTAATATCCTGAAGCAATCCAGACTCAATAGCAAACAGTACTACTGCATTCTCACCAACAAACGTGTCCACGCCGTCTGGACTAACGTAGGTCCACTCACGCTGTATGCCACGAGGCCGCTTGGCTGTCCATCCTACAGCACACAATTGCCGCCCGAGATGTCTGAAATCTATGTCGCGGGCCGCTGCGGCAACAGCAGCGGTTTTGCCTCGGGAGCTGGAGCGAATGCGGGCCATCCGGCAAATTCTGTAATGACTGCCATCGTTGGCCATTCCCTCTGTATCCGCGTATCTCATTCCCGTTGGCTCCTTCTCTCCTTCCCGCGCCCTACCCCTGTCCTCTTTATCACTTTTCCCGTTTGACCTTTCGGATCTTATCTGTTTTTTATGACTTGGATAAAGTATTGCCTGAGCCATTTCCTATTGTCGTGCGCTCTACGTCGTATAATACGACATAGTAAATCGTCTATGGCGTATCTTATGACGTCGCTGTACAGATTTTGCTCCCTATTCTGACACTATAAGAATTTTAAAGTGATATTTATTATTACGGTTTGTGACATCTCACAAGTTGTTTGCATGCTTGGCTCCGATATCACTTGCAGTTAAACGTTCTGTTTGACCGACAGACGCCAGATCAAGGTGCATTCACGCACATACGATGAGGTCCTTCCACTCTTCGGAGATGGACACGACGACGTCTCAATAGCAAGAGTTGGTGGTGGTAGATACTTACTGTTTGGGATGGCTTGCTGATGGCGGTGTCGTGCTTGCCGTGTTCGCGACATCGGCGTCTCGACCGGAAGTACAACCCACAGCCAACCGCTTTTTGTTTTCAGGTTGGTTTTGTTAGTTAGAAGAACCGCTTGTTATCAACGTGAAATATCCAGAGCATCCCGGGCAAACGCACGGCATGAGTTTAGTGATACTAACTTGCTGTAATTACAGACGATCCCCTCGGCAGTCATAGCATTGGGAGATCCCGATTTATTCCTGTGTAAATATATTCTTATCCTGAATGTGCCACAAAAATGAATCTGGTAGGTGCACAGAATCCAGTAATGGGGACGATTGCGGTTCACTCCGGGCTTATTAGTGCCAATTTTGACTCACCACACCAAGATGACCACCCCGACCCAGTCAATCCGCCTCACACTCAAAGAGGTCAACGACTACAAATATGCCAGCTACACGCTCAGAACCCTACTCTGTCCCAAATACTTTAAGTAGAGATAGGTAAGTACCTTTATGGCTCACAGAATCTATGATCTCCTTCAGGTTCCATAACAAGCGATGATTTCGAAGCTATTGGAGCACGAAAAGGCGCTAGAGATACTTGGGGTCTTGCAGTTGGACTCAAAATCACGACACGAGGTGCGCCATCTTGAACTCGATCAGACCCTTACTAGTTGGTCTCCTGTGTGAAGAGAAGGATGTTTTTGTTTTTACAGCTGAGGGGTGAGACGGAATAATAACATGTGTTTTTTATTACAACTAGTCGCTAATTTATTGCTGCTGAGGGAATATTCCAAGCCTAGGGATTACTACCGAAGAGATCGTCTGTAGCTGCTTCCTTCGTCTGCCCCTTGTTGATTGATACAGCCACACAACTCGATGGTTTCCAACTCAAAATCGCCTTTGAGCTTTTATGGCAAGTTTTTAACAGGTTTCTAGGTTAGTTCGCGATAGACCCACAGCGAATGGACATCTTGTATCCCGAAAAGGAATGAGGCGGAGCTCTCGCAATTTTCTTTATAAAGTGTGTTTTTCCTTAGCGGGGTAGTACATAGCTGTTCATCAATTATGGACGTCGTGGCAATTCCGCGATTCAGGAAGTGCATTGTATTACAAACTGAAGAGTAAGTCAAGTTGGGCGTCAAAATGTCAACACCTTAATTGTACAGTAGCAATATAATGTTTAACGCGAACACGCAAGCGAACTTACGGTTGCTTCTGATTTTTAATCACTGCGAACTTAGTACAATCATACTGTCATTGACATAAATTAATTTGATAATCCAGTACACTAGTACTAAATTATAAAGGGAATGGAAAAAATATTTCGAGAGATTTGATTGGCTGGGATGGCATTCAGACGAAAAAAAACCATTAGAATTTTAATGGGTTTTTTCGTCTGCATTGAGACTATGGACGCCGAGCAGGTTCGCGTAAGTGGCTTCAAGCGCATCCTAGTGCGGCTAGATGAGGGCACGCGCCGCAAGTACTGCTGCCGCGCGCTCGAGCAAGATCTGCAAAACGTCAAGAACCAGATGCGCGCGTGTACGGCGGCCATGGCGGAGGCCAAGCAGGTGGAAGACGCCACACGCAAGCTACACGCCAGTCAACGGGCTGCAGTGTCGAGTGAGCTGCTGGACGACTTAGAAATGCTTCAGTGCCATTTAGAAACGGCCACAAATAAGCTAATTTCCGGTAGCAAGCCTCAGAATGGAGCGTTAGATGTGGCAAAAGAAGATCTTGAAGTCAAGGAGGAGGCTGAACCTGCGGAGACTTCGACATTCGAGAAGGCCAAGACGCTGGCGAGGCAGATTTTACAGACAAAGGAGTTTGACGCAGCAGTGCACCAAATTAAGCACTTGGAGAGGCTGATGCCAGTGCTGAAGGAGGTGGACGACAAGAAACAAAAATGGTGGAAGAAATATGTGCGGAAGGTTGTAACTCACACTCTCGAGCTGAAAGGAGATGGCACGACGGACAAGCGGCTTAGTCGTTTAGATAGGTCGCTCAAGAAGATTGAAGCCAAGTGTCCGGAGCTCACGGAATGGATCAAGTACGTGAAGGCACTATTTTGTGGTCTTTTGTGACAAGTATATTAACCTGAGTTTTTTTAGGAGTATCCAAGACCAAATTTCCGAAAAGCAAAGTCAAGAGTCTTCAGTTGAAGCACCGGTATCGAAGAGCAAGAAGAAGCGTGCGATTGCTCTGCCTGATGATGGAGAAACGGCAATGACGAGTACTACGTCTCCTGCAAAACCTAAGAAGGTCAAGGCTACCAACAATACTAAGGAAAAGAAGACTGAGTCGGTTGAAAAGGCTCGAGCTCTGTTACACCGCTGCTCGCGGGAGGTGCGCACATTGCGTGACAAGTTTGAACTGGGTGCGTACGACGTGAATTTGAGTCGCATGGTGACGGTTGTGGACTCCTTGTGGTCGGGTTTTGAGCACTCGGAGCTGGTGTCGCTGACTACTGCGCTATTCACGCTGGTGGAGACTGTGGAGAAGGTTGTGAACCAAGCCAAGCGTCGAGACCGTCTCATGTGTCTAGAAAGCGTCCTGGGCGTCGTCCTGGGCTCATCCAAGCTGCAACTGACAGCACGACGCAAGACGATGGTGGAGGAGTATGCAAACAACTGCCGCCAGTCTTTGCAGCAGTTGAATCGACAGTCAGAAAACGTCCAGCAACCTGCTAGCCAAGCGTCAGTGCACAATGCAGTGCCAACCGCTTCACGTCATGTTTCAAAGACTACCGGGAGTTCGCACGTACGCTTCGGCTAGTTAGAAGTCGAGTATAATAGATCGATACAGCTGACAAGACTACGCTTTTAACTGGGTTTTTCTCCGACTAGGACAGGTACAAACTGCTGGCAAACACGACGTCGCGCTTGATGGCTTCAGAGGCAACTTCCATTTTGCGATATAGCTGCGGGTCTCCGATGACACGCGCGGCATTGCGAACTTCACGACAAACTTCATCAAGACGAGTGATGCAGCGCACAATGGAGCCTTCCTGCACGTCTGTGAGCTCGCATAACTGCTTGAAGGGCATGCCTCGTGCCCACTCGTACACAACCTCCATCAATCCGAAGTTGAGCGCACCCTTGCAGTAGACTGCAGGGTCGATTTCAAGATGCTGCTCTAGCTGGATGAGGCCCAATGATTCCGCAATGTTCTTGACGATCTCGCGAGTGTTCTCTAGCGTTGGAGTCAGTGTTGGCTCGGATTGAGACTTCTCTTGGAAGATAAGCGCAGACAGCACAGCAACGATCTCTTCAGGCTCCAGATTGGCCAATACATTCTCGAAGATCATTTCGGTCAGCACGAGTTCCTCGCACGTGTTGATCTCACATGCCACTCGTCCTTTAACCTGCACAACGCCGTCTTCTGAGATGTATCCGAGTCGTTTCAGCACACTCAGACGTTGCTGGAAGTCCGGGAAGAGCGAGAGCGAATCGTTCGACAACTCACGAGTCATACGCACCAAGTAGGCCTTGAGCTTGAAGATCTTCTCCACTTTTCCCATGACACGAGACACGGACGGTGAGTCGGTGGCACAAGGGTGACTAAGTACCATCGAGTACATCTGCTGCCATTGAGTATAACCCGTCGCGACTTCGAGGTCATTGACCTTAAGTTCACCCATCAAGTCAACGTAAGTGATCGCTGCCTTCTGCGTTGTTGCAGTGTCTTTCTCGAGTTGAGTTAGGAACTCGATGCTACTAGCGAGTTCCTTCTTCGACGAGGAAGATACCAGAGTCTTGGTGTTCACATTCGACGCTACAATAGACGTCACACTCTCAACACAACTCTCAGGTACCTCCAACACAGCATATTTCCGACCCAGCAGCGTAGCAGTCGCCGGTGCAGTAAGCGCACTTTCTTGACTTTCAGCTTTCCCTTTCTTACTCACGCGTCCGAACATGAGATCATCGTCGTCTTTCTTGCTACGTAGCATACGACCACCCATTAAAGTGTGAAGGTTCTTCTTGGTCTCTGATGGTATCTCCACTTTAGGAGGCTCGTAGTCATCAGGACAGAGAGTGATGACCATGATCGACTTGAAGACTCCCTTCTGACCTGCATCACTGGTACTTGTACTCTGAAGTTCTGTTTCAAACGAGAGCTTTGATCGAGCAGTGGCGCCTTCATTCACCATAGCAGCATTTGTACGCACAACTAATGCCAGTTGATCGGATGATAACCCCTTCACGTTGAGAATTACGATGCGTCCAGGTGCAATCGCGTTCTTGGCAGCTTGGATGTTGTTCGCTAGTAGCCACTTGGTCAGCTTTTTCTCCAGCTCACGCTTATCGCGTTTGAGTTGGTAGAACTCCTGCATCTGCGCCAGTTCGCCACTAGCCTCGAGATGTGGGTAGTCCTCAACAAGTGAACGTTCAAGCTGCTGTAACAACTTCTTGGCCTTCTGAATCAACTTTGGAATGTTTTTCGAGGCAAGAGCCTTCTGAGTGTGGAATTCCGAGAACGAACGCTTCATCATGTCCTCAACGGTTAGAACTTCCACTCGCAAGAGGTTCAGGATCATATTGTACGTCAAGCGGAATTGACTGGAGAGTGACGTCGCCTTTCCCGCCAGCATCGTCCTCAACGATGTGGGTTCGGGGACATCGTTCCAGCACGCGATGATAACAGTACCTACCGAATCCAGACCACGACGTCCAGCACGTCCAGCCATCTGAGTGTACTCTCCAGGTAAAAGATCACGGAAGTTCTTGCCGTCATGCTTTCGAATCCCGTTAAACACCACTGTACGCGCAGGCATATTCACACCCATAGCGAACGTCTCTGTCGAGAAGAGAACCTTCACTAGACCACGACCAAACAGGATCTCGACCATCTCCTTGATAATCGGAAGTAAGCCACCGTGATGAACGCCAATGCCTCGTTTAAGCATCTCCTTCATAGTCAATACCTGAGGTAATTCACGGTCTGATCCTTGTAGTCGCTGCACGCTTGACTCAAGGAAGAGGTGAATCTCTGACCGCTCGGAAGGGGTACTCAGATCAAGCTTGGCTAACTTGCTGGCACTCTCTTCGCACAGGCGCTTACTGAAGGCAAAGACCACCACTGGAAGCAACGACTTGTCCTTCAACGTGTTGATCAGCTTGGTCCATTCGCCCTGATCACCTCCTGATGTGCGGATACTACGGGCATTGGCACTACTACCGCCACCGCGAGCAACAGCCCTGCCACCTCGACCAGCCTTCGATTTATCCGACGCTGGGGCGAGCTTGGCCTTGGCTGCACCATGAGCGTTTGGTAGATATCCAGAGGTAGCGTCATAGAGCTTAAAGAGCTCCTTTCCAGCATATAAGAAGTGCTGGAGAGGGACAGGACGCTTGTAGGTAGAGATCACGTGGATCTTCTGCTTCTTTGTACGCCCAATCCAGTCAGAAAACTCCAAATGGTTCGGCGTAGTAGCCGAGAGGAAGACCATACCGATGTGTTCAGGAAGCATGATGATCACTTCCTCCCATACCACACCACGTTCACTGTCGTTAATGTAGTGAATCTCATCAAAGATAACCCACTCGATATCCCGGATAATGTCAGCTCCACGGTACAGCATAGAGCGCAAGATCTCCGTCGTCATAACTAGACAACTGGCCTCCGGATTGATACTGACATCGCCTGTAATAAGACCGACATTGTCGGGTCCAAACTTGGTGCGGAAGTCACGGTACTTCTGGTTAGACAAGGCCTTGATAGGCGACGTGTAAATAGTGCGCGTCATGTGCTTCTGGGACATCGCGATGGCGTATTCTGCAATCACAGTCTTACCAGCAGAGGTGTGAGCAGCCACGAATACGCACTCGTGGCGCTCCAGATGAATGACACACTCTTTCTGAAACACATCCAGCTCAAACTCGTACTTCATAGCCATCTCAGGAACCTTCTCATGGAAGTTGCGCACATCGACACTCGCCATACTCGCCCACTCGGACGTGGGGCTTGTTCGCTTCTGCAACGTCAGTGTACTCGACTCTGAGGCAGAGTCCAGTATCGTCTCCAATGCCGTCTCCGGGTCTTCGATGCTATCATCGTCAGTAGAGGATCCTTCCAGTCCAGACGCCGCTTTAACGCTCTTATCAGCTGCTTCCACTGCACTTGATGCAACATCAGGATCTCCATTCTGTTGTTCAGTGTTGTCACCTTCCTCTTCTTCATCCTCAACTGAGAATCCCAACTCCATGAGCTCTCCATCGTCCTCCATCTCACGTAACAATTGATCCAGTCCAACTGTCGTGTTGTCATCATTCTGTCTCATCGCATTGGCAGCTTTCTCGTCCAGCACAGCACTCCTGATCGCTGCTACATGGTCCTTATCCGCCACCGCCTCAAAATACGGTTTTAGCAGGTTTTTCGGGTTCACTCCGACGTTCTCGACTTCGTCAACTGTCTCCACCTCCTTCTTCTCGATCTTCTTCACGTCTTCAGCAGTTAAGCAGCCGTTAATACCTGGAACATCAAACACGAGACTCTCCAACAGTGTTTCGTCCAGTTCTTCTCCATCTCCAAGCACCAATAGGTTCCTCTGCTGCTCCTCTTCCTTCATTAGCAGCCTTTGCATCGGACTCAGCTCTTCCTCGACCTTCTCCGGCTCCAGTTCAGCCAATGAGTCTCCTCCAGGGGAGTAGGGCTTGTTACTCATCTTTCCTCGGGCGTATTCGTCTTGTTTGGTCAGCGCACTGCTAAATCCTGCGTCTGCTCCGGTCCTAGAGACGTCCACGGCTCGAAACTCGTACTGGATCTTTAATGGATCTTTTACTATTGAATTCCGCTTTGGGACGAGCTCCTGCCGGGGCGCGGACATGGGCATTTGAGCCAGAAGTCGACTCTGTGGAACCGTAACCTTGGGGTTACTTTCCGGGTTACTGTCCTTCCAGCCGCGAGGAAATGGTCCTAGACGCTCCAATGCGAACAACGGATGTGCCACTGTCTCAAGCTCTTTCTGCACCGTCGATCGGTCTCCATATGGGGATGTGAGGCGCACAGGGGGCAGCGCAAATGGAGATGTTGGGGGAAGAGGTTGTGAAGACTTGTGGGGTACGATCACCACAGCTTCGGGGGCTAACGAAGAGGCAGAAAGCACGGAGAATTGGTCCAGAGCGGCGTTAGACGTAGGCGTAGAAGATACCGTGGTGGGGGATGCCGCAGCTTCCTCGTTCAGCCGTGAGAGCTCTGCCAAGACGCGCTCCACCGCCGCCATCTTGCCGTCCATGGATATTGTCGTATCCTAATAGTATCTAGGTTACAGTATTCCGTAACCTTCAATTGTACCCTCCAGCTTCAGTTACGAATATCGCGAACGAGAGGAAAAGAGCATGACGGCGGCAGATGAAGCGGATGAGCTGGCGCTGCGCTGCTGCGTGTGCGGCACGTCGGCCGAGGACGACAGCAACTACCTTAACACGAAGATGAAGATGCTCATCTCCAAATGTGGCCACCGATTGTGTGTGTTGTATCCTCTCCATTGGTCTCGTGTCCACCATGTAACCCTCGTGTATACCCGTTAGCTGTGACCACTGTATCAAGCGCGAGTTCCAGCACCAGCGCGAGATCTCGTGTCCTGCGTGTCAGAAGCCCGTCAAGAAGTCGCAGCTGCAGGACAAGACTATTGAGGAGCTCAACTTTGCCAAGGAGACGTCGGTGCGCAAGAAAGTGACCAAGGAGTGAGGACACTCTGTCATTATAACTATTGAGGGGTGGTTGGATAATCATGTCTAAAATTGGTACCTTATGTTTTTTTGCAGTTATAACAAGACAGAGGACGACTTCGACACGCTGGACGAGTACAATGACTACCTGGAGATGCTAGAGAACCTTAGTACGTGGGCTATTCAAGCTGATTTATCGGAAACTATAGACATTGACGAGTTTTCTTGCAGTATTTGACTTGGTTTATGGCGACGATACCGAGAAGGCCGCGGCCCAGAAGCAGTGGAAACAATACCGACAGGAGAATGCCATTGCCATTGCTACCAATGATGCCAAGAAGGCAGATGAGGAGCGACGTATTGCACAGCTCATTGCTGAACAACAGAGACTGGCAGAAGAGCGACGACTGCTGCAGCAGAAAGAGGATTCTCAGTTCGAAGCGGATCTAGAGCGCCAGAAGGCTCAGCTGATGGAGGTTGCGCTAGGAGAACGTGACGAGAGCGACGTGTCTAAGCTGCGGGCAACCACCACAGCGATTCCGATCGACCAGGCTGTCACGGCGGAGATGGAGGCGGCAATGATGGGGTTCCAGCCCGGAGTTATTGGCGGACCCCAGCCAGTTCCTGTACCAGGAGGGAAACGTGGGCCGAATTTTGGCGTCAACGAGTCCAAGAAACTGCGTCGGCAGCAACAACTAGCAGGTGGATACGATCCGGACCTGCACTTCAAGCGCAATCGGACGGAGGCCTGGTGTGGAATCTACTTCCAGCCCATTGATAGAAAAAACGAGAGCAACAGCCCAACTCCGATGGAAATCTGCTAGACCAACTGGAGTGTTCAGCCAGGTACGCGTCAAGAATATACTTATAACTAACAGTTGGCCATAGATGGCTATGAAACTTTATTCGTTTGCTGTCCTTTCACCGCATTGATAGAAAACGGAGAGCAACAGGCCACAGGTACACGCAAAGCCTCATTCGGATGGCGTATTGTGGCATCAACCAGAACGCACGATTCTACCAAAATTGCTTCATTCCCACAACACTTGGCGACGGATCTCACGTCTCGCAAAGTCAAAGATAATGTCAATGACAGCAGTGGGCAAAGTCGTCACCATCGCGACACTCAACAGCGCAAGGCGATGCTGGCACGGTAGACTTTCGTGCCCTAGCAACGAGTCGTGGTGATCCCTACCAAATCGCCATCGAAGGTCTCTGGAAACAGTGTGTTTCTCATTTATTGACAAAACCAGGTATCGTAGCGTTTTGTTTCTTCGCAGTGACGAGTAGAGTACGTTAAGAGTTCTGTTCTCATGACTTGTCGGGTTATCCTCGAGTTGCAGGACTTGCAGGTGCTGAATCGAGTGGCATTCGGTACCTCGTAGCAGTCGAAAGAATTCTTCCTGGCTTGCCGCGCTGATGTGGTTTTGAGCAGCGTTCAGTGTACGCAGACTGCAGCTCTCACGTCTAAGAGCTCTCGTGATCGGTCCAATGTCAGTCAACTCACACTCGCTAACATCCAGGTTCTTTAACAGTGGACATGCTTCCAAAATAACATCCAAAGTACTGGTTCGTAGCGCATTGTCGGGCAGATGGAGCGTCTCCAACGACTGTCCGACAGTCTTTACCCACTCGGACAAAACACAATCAATATGCTCGTGTTCTAAAGGCCCACAGAGTGCACCATCCTCGCCGACTCTCAGGAATTGCGGCGTTGTCTTTACTCCCATCATTGTCAGTGCTTTCAACTTGCAGCTATGCTTGCTTCTAGCTCGGGTTTCCGTTTTAACAATCTTTGAATTCTTGACGTATAGCTTGCCGTAAGCAGGTATCAAGACACACGCCCACGATACTCCAGAATCCAGCAATTCGCACCACAATTCCGTCTCAAGTGTCAACGCTGGAGCGGGTTTTCCTCTGGAATGTTTCTTCATGCCTCGAGGAATCTCAAGACGAGTACCAGCTTGTAGGAGAGCCCAATGGCTCTGGTGGCTTGTATCTGGCCCAGAGGTTATCTTCTTTTGCATCAAGCATGGCAAATAATCTGTAGATTTCAGGAGGTTGCGCACAGTTTCAATATCCTCGAGTCGGAGTACGCAGTGTGATAAATCCAAGTGTTCGATTGGAGATTTCGACGTTGGGTGGAAGATGCCAAACGCAAGCCATAGCCATGCATCACTGCCCTCCAGTCCGTGTAACGATAAGTCACGAACTCCAAATCTGCTGTTACCATCGTGTATAGCTGAAAACAGTGAACCAAGCTGGAAGTTGCTGAGTTTACTGAAATTCAAGCTTAGTTTCGTCAGGCTCGTTGTCACTGGCGCTCCAGACAGCGATACAGCGAAGCACGCAGACACAAATTCGCAGAACGACTGCATAAAACGTTTGGATGTCTTCGCAGTAAACACCAAGTCGAGCGCTAACTCACTGACAGTAGACGCTGGCAGAGCCATTATTTGTGCTAGTGGGGATAAGTCACGTTCAGAGATCGTAGTTTGACTCAAATTCAAGCACCGAACCGAGAACAATGCTATCGAAGAGTTCCTAGTTTCTTTTCTGCTTGAAGCTGCCAGCAACAGATTCTGGATTCCAGTCTTAGAGTCGGCCAAACGCAGTCTGCTTCGCGAGAAATCCAGATCGATCTTTACACTGCGAGGTTGGTGTGGTATAGCAACACCGAGCTTCGTCATTATAGCCTGCACGCATTGATCGACTCGTTGGAAAAGATAATTAGGCGACGAGGAGAAAGCTTGTGTACACAACTCGAGCAATTCATTTTTGACCTTCAAGCTGGAAAAGATGAGCTGAAATTTTGGCATTGCATAGACCTCACCGGCATTTCTTGCTGGCGCACAGTTTGGAGGCTTCTCTCGACGTCGGAACGAGGAGCTTTGCGGAGGTGGGAAGTACACGTTGCAACTAGAGGAGTCACATATATCGTTCAACACGTGCTTCCAGAAAAGAGGGTTGCCACGCCACGAATATTCTGGATAGCGAGCCACGAGGCTTAAAAAGCGTATTGCCGCCACTTTATCGTGGACTTGCCGTGTTAAGGCTTCATTACGGTCAACAGAGCCGTGATAATCGTTTGCGTTGGCGTTTGAAGGGGTAGTATTGGTATTGTGGTGGACACTGGGATTCCGAGTGTTGCCAGCATTACTTTTGGTCTCGGCACGGAAAAGCACTGTTATCCATGGAACAGGCAGGAGCTCGTCGCTCGATTCAAAGCGTGGGACCTCACGGGGCCAGAGATTGACGTCTCCTTCCAGACACGCACATACAGCAGCAACGTAGCGCTCCATGGCCCAGCCAGGCCTCGAACTAGTCCTCCTCACCATAATGATTTTTCAAGTTATGGTGAAGAAAATGATTTGGGCACTTGAAGTGGGACACGGCGATTTGTATGCAACATTTTTTCAAGATAAAACAGTAGCGACCCTCGAGCCTCTTGCGAGGCTCTTCGTTGCACGAATTCTCTCAGCCTACTTCATATTATTTGCAAGACTGCAGGTCTCCTTAAAAGGTTTATACTTGAGATTATAGAATAGACGAATTAGATGTGGTGTGTGTGTTTTTTAACGACCTGGGATCTAAATGTTGTCATTATAAGATTCGAATACCTTTAGCGCTGCCCGGAACGCGTTTTCACAGCACTGCATCACTTGAGTCGACGTTAGATAATCTTGGTCAGAGTGCCGCGTTGTTTTTGAGTTTTAGGATTCCAGTGCGAGTGGAATTGTGAGTGGCAAGCTGAGAGCGTAGGGTGTCGATAGTACGTCTACTTTCGAGTAGATGGCAGCGGAGCTCTTGAATCGTGGTCTCGGCTTCATGTTGTTGTTGTATATGAGTGAGAAGGTCAGATGCTTGTGCCGGTTTATCTGTAACCTTATCCGATCCGGTACTTGCCACTAATGGATCGTGGAGCTCATCACGTTTGCTGCTTGAACCCATTATCTGGTTCATCGGTGCAAGTAACTGGTTTGAGCCCTGTAACGCAGTATCAGCATCGTTTAGTAAGTCGTAGTGTACATGTTTTGTTGTGTCGTCACCCTTGGAAGCTTCAAGGTAGCGTTGCTCCTTCAAAGCTGCTACCATTTCATCGACTAGTTTTTTTTCGAGAGCTTGTAGCTGTTCGGCGTGACCTTTGAAAGTACCGAAATGGAGGCTTTCAGCCATTCTGTTGTAGTCGACGGTAGTCCCAGCGTATCGGGCAGCTTTGTACGACGTTGCCATCATGTTTTTCTGCGATGGTGAAAGTCGGAAGGGCTCACAACTAAGTCTACTTCCGTACTGGCGGTGACCTTTTTTCTCGCGCAAGCTTTAGCTTTAATGCTCTGCACGCCTCTCGCACGTCTTCTAGTCTGAGTACTTGCTGATCTGGTTCGACTTGGATTTCATGAACACTGTTGTCGTCCGCATGGTCATTAATGTTGGCGTCTTGGAGCAGTTGGGGGTAATGTGCATCGGCAGTACTCGTTTAGAGAATCATCACGGCTTTTCCAAATCGTCAATGCAAAGATGCATTTACTACGTCGTGCAGGATCAATATTCCCAAGCCCTTCCTCCACCACTTCGAACACTTCTTCGTCGGCCCGATTCAACAACTCGACGTGCCATCCATGATTGAATTCTGTAGCCCCCAGCCAGCACATTTCAAGCGTGATGTTATCACTCGGTGCAGGGCTCCCAGTTGCAATAAAAGCTCTGACATCGTTCACGCTAACGAAAGGCGGACGCGCTTCCTCAGCGTCTTGTGCCAATCTCTCTCCGCTCGAAGGATATCCAGTGTCGACGCCATAACTAGAAACCGAAAATGACGTCAAATGTTTCCAGGCTTGTGAGTTATCTAACGTTACTTTCGTTACTACACAATAGATAGAACCTCATCCGATCACGCATCCTCAACTGCCTTAAGGCCCGCTGAAGTTACTGTCAATACCAGCATCTCCAACGGAACGACGATAATTCCACCGCCATTCCCTCAAAACGCACTTGCATTCTTCACTTCAATAGACTGTACTCCCGTTCATTCCTACACACAATGATCCACGCTCATGTCGAAAATGGGCCAGCTTCTCAGCGAACGGTCCCTCCGTTGCCTGGCACAGCACTAAATTCTACTGCTCAACTTGCGTGGTTCAACCTGTACCAAGCTTCACAACCCCAGCAACAACCTCTCAACCCCCACGATGGTACAGCCGCCTCCACCCTTCTGCCAAATCACACTCAGACCGAGCTACCATTCGTTGGAAGTGACTATGAAGTTGTCATCCCACACGCCTGGCCTCGCAATATTGCACACATCGACCACAGCATCATCTCCGCTTCAAAACCGTACCCAGTCACAGTATCATCAGATTACACCGACCAAAAATGTGAGTGCGAGCTATGCTGTATCTCCAGCACAGGCACTCACCTCACTAGCTCGTGCATTAACGTAAACTCGGCAACAGTTTGTGACGACTCAAACTGCTTACTCGGCCCTCGATGTGGAAACCGGTTTGAGCAGCGGTTTGAACTGGACCTCATTCAGACTCGAGTCGGTTTGGGCGTGGTATCGCCCAACATCATTCCTCAAGGGGCATTCGTCGTTGAGTATGTAGGTGAAATACTCTACGCTGAAGATGCCGCAAGGCGTAACGACCGCAGATACCAGGCGAGGTTCCGAACAGAAGCAGAGTGGGGAGAGCACTCGAAGGTGTACGTCGACGCGCTCGCATGTGGCAACGAGAGTCGGTTTATAAATCACTCCTGTAAACCGAACTGCGTAATGTACGAGTTTGATTGGACGAACAGCACTAGACTCGGCATATTCGCAACCAAAGAAATCCCTCCACTACAAGAGCTGACTTTCTCTTACAGTCGGCGAAACAGACAATTCTTCCGGTGCCAGTGCTCCGCTCACGTTATCACCACGTAGTAAAGTAAAGTAATCCCAGTACGAATAAAAAAAAAGCGTCTACATATTCCACAGCATCTCTCCATCAACTCCATATATTCACTGCTTCAAGCCACCGAACCACACCAACAGAGTACCAGCACCATCACATTTCAACCCCTGCATCGCGCATTCGAAAGTACATTGTGCAGATACTGTGCTGATACCCGAAGGTCACAACACCCGTGTTCACTGCACCCTGAGCCGCACCAACAATGCCCTTTGCTGCTCTCCATCCGTGCTCACTGCACCCTGAGTCGCACCACCAATGCCCCTTCCTACTGCTCTCCATCATGCTGATACCAGCGCCGTGTAGCATTAATAGAATCGCTGCTGACAGCCGGGCCGTCAGATCTGACAGCGGCATCGTCATCTAACAGAGGCTTTTCTATCTGAGTGTACCGTTTCTTAGGCACCGGTGTGTGCCACCCTACCAGGCCGGGCCGGCCATACAAATACCAAGTAACTCGCCCCTACCATATTTAGTGTTGTATCCTATTGGCCAAAACGGAGCCGAAACTTAACTTGACCGGGAGGAAATCGCCCTTGCCTGGCGACCGTTCAGATACCTATAATTGAACAGTCGCTTCTCAAATAAGTTGATTTCTAACGTGCTTGCCACAGAAGCAACGGCATTGGATGAACTTTAACCAGTAAAGTACCGTGTTTTTCCGGGGAAGTAGATGGGTACACATAGTGAAAATATCGGGAGGAACTTATCTAAATATCAAGCGCATTCGGAAATCTGAAGGGGCGTCCCATGCGGGGACTCGGCTTACAAACACCAAGTCAAACATGATTACGGACCCCTCCAAAACTGGGGAGCGCAATCTCGACATTCCAACTGCAAGTCTACGAATTGAACTACAGCGCTTAGAAACGCCTTTAGAAACGCCTTTGACGTCTATGCTCTCAGCCCTTTAGGCTGAGAGAACTTAGAAAAATCAAAAGGAAAGTTTCATCATCATCGCTATATTATACTAGGCTTCCTATCATTCCATGAGTCCTAAATCGCTCTCGTCTACCTGGATCTTGTCCATGGTTGTTTCGTTCAGTCTGCCAGCAAGATCGGCAATGCGTTTTGGGATACCCTTTGTAGCTCTCAAAGCCGGGTGTGAAGCAATAAGTTCCAGCTTATCTGTAGAGTTCGTAGCGCGTGCGTGTTTCAGTTCCTCAACACGAATAGGTCGACTCATGAGACTAACCAGCATCATCGTCGCGCTCTTCATGTCGAACTTGGACAGAGTGTACAACCGTTCGCCGTGTCCACGAACAGCACCGTCAGCACAGATAGACGTTCGCGCAGTCAACACAATCTTCAGAGACGCGTTATTTGTCAAAATATCCGACAAAAAGACACGGAATCGGTCTCGTCGAGTGTCGTTACGTAGCAAATAATCACAGCCATCCATGACCATAAGCATGTGCTGGCCGTTGAACTCGATCCGAGCCTTGTGCTGCTTCAAATGATCCGTTACCATCGTCTCTAACCGCGTTAGTACGCGACATCTTCCATTCGCGATGTTGATATTACGTCGCATCATTCCCACATGTTCATCCATCTCGTCTTGGGCCAGTCTAGCTACCGAAAAGATACGAACGCCCCCTTCTGAAGTGATGCGTGGTCCTACATAGTTCGCCACTGCATGCGCCACCGCAGTCTTGCCAATGCCTTCTTCTCCACAGATCGTAACCAGACGAGTAATACGAGACTGCGTCATCATCAATGCCAAGCAGATCTTGTACACTTCCACAGATCGATTGCAAAATCCCTGACACATGGCCGGTAAGTCATCGAACCATAGCTTCGGGTATCGCTTCTTCTTCATAGGCTCGAGGTTGATAGTATTGGAAGACTCCACTGCTGCAAGAGGGAAAATAATCTCCGAGTGGTCGCCGTCTTCAGGAAGCAACATGAACTTCTCCGCAACAGCCATCGGTCCTCGAATATTCGGAGACTTGGCAACCGATTGCTGTGCTATAGTAAAGCTTGCCCCCACCGGCTTCCCGGTCGCAAGAGCCAAGTAAAATGCACGCGTGAACTCAATCGCCGCATAATCTTCGATCTTCTGGTTTGTACGTACACCAATGACGTGAGGAATACCACACGCTACGAAAGCATAGGCCAGCGGTGCAGAAGAACATGCAGACACGAATACAAGACGCAGCGTCGATTCTCCTCCTCCACCTGCAGAGAACAGCTCTTGGAGTCCTTTATGGGGAATCGGGTGCACCAGTCCCATTCCGTCTTCAAAATATAGGTGGTTTTCATCGCCATGTCCAGAAAAATGAAGCGCTCGGCAGCCTAGAGTCACCATCGCTCGAAAGGTGTCGGTGTTTGCAAACTTAGCCACCACACTAATCTGTCGTGGACACTGGTATATCCTGGACAAGGTCCCAGGACCGTTGTTGCCTGATAGATCATTAACTGCAGCTGGACGCTTGGCAAACTTGGATGCTTCTATCAAACTCTTCTGCAAAATTGAGTACTCCCGCTTTACATCCAGTTCCGCGATTGGATGGTATTTGCCGTGAATATCCTTCCCCACCAACGGCGCCGAGAACAACACACCCAGTGTGTATTCCTGAAAGTTCGGTCCCTGCTGGGATTTATCTTGTGAGTCTGCCAAAATTGCCGTCTGGTTACCCTTAGTTCCTTCCTGAGCGCCTCGAACATGCGGATCTTCAGCAACATACCCGAGTAATACGTTCCCCTGCCGTGAGGACAGTAGCGTGATCTTCTGTCCATCTGCCAACTTGTACTTCTTGTTTTTCTGTACTTGCACTCCGTCGATTCTGATGCCGTTAGTGCTTTTATCTGTAATGAAAACTGCATGTCTGTGAGTCTCTGGGTCCAACGCCGTCTCAATAATGCAGTGAGTTCTGCTCAGCTTCACTGGATCGACGCCAGACGTCTTTTTATCAAAGATACCGACGTAACTCTCTCTCCCGAGTGTCACTCGTGGTGTCAGCATCTGCATCTCGATCCGATACAGTCCTTTCTTCTCCAGTGCGTTCTTCTGGAACGCTGTAACGGCTTTATCCACTTCCGGGTGCAGCACGAGTCTCATAAGACACAGCGACGGACTGTCCTCCAGTGTCTGTGTGCACTCTTGCGTGTTCTGTTGGGATATACTCATCGCCTCCATGAGGTTCTGCGAGTCTTCTTTCATGGTCTCAAACTGCTCCTCTCTATTGTCAAAAGCTCTTGAGTCCCTTCCAAAGCTGCTGGACGTCGTTACGCGGTTGTCTGGTGCTCCGTTCATCATGACTGACCCTGGTAGGGTGTAGGACACCAATCTTGAGCGTTTATTGGGCAAACTGG